TCAGCCACGACTGAGCTCCAGACACAAAGCGTCATGGCCTACCAATGAAGCCTGGGCAGAGCTGGCCCCTGCTACAAGTGCTTCGAAGGAATTCATAGATTTTCAGAAGATGCTCCTGTTCTGATTTAACCTGCTGCAGTAAAGTTCTGCCAAAGTGAGTTTGTGACAGATTTTCACAAAAAGCAACCCTTCCTAGAGTGCACAATTTCTAAGAACAGTATGTTGAGGGCCAAGCTGCATTGAAGGCATTGGCCAAAAAAAAACAAAGAAAACAAGAATTGATGGAACACAAATTACCGTAATGCTCGAGTATAAGCTGACCCGGATATCTGCCGAGGCACCTAATTTTACCACAAAAACTGCCTTAAAAATGTGCTGCAAAACTCGGCTTTCTACAAAATGGATGCACACTGGGAACCCTTACTCATTTTTGTCGAGCAATTTGGAAGGCCTCCGACTAGGCGAAATTCATATTTGTGCTCCATTCAAATATTGACAATTCAGCAGAATGTGAAAATTATTGAACAATACCATTAATATCATATGTGAGTAAAATTTACTGAAGATAATTCGACAGCAGCAGTACATTAACAGAACTATCAGAAATTATAGCCGGCCTCAGAAGAAGATGTGGACCAAGGGATATTATTGTTGATGTCAGCTGGTTCTTGGCTGAAAGCAAGGAAGACCAGAAAGATGTTGACTTGTACATTACTGACTATGCAGACATTCAACTGTGTGGATCAGAAATGGTGGATGGGAATTCAAGAATACTTCATTGTGCTCATGAAAAACCTATACATAGGCAATCATTCAAAAAGAACAAGGAGATATTGCATAGTTGAAAATAGGGAGAGGTGTGCATCTGGGGTGTATCCTTTTACCATGCAAATTCAATCGGTATGCTGAATAAATCATTGAAGAAACTGGTCTGTGGGGGGGAGGGGGGCGGCATGGCCTCCCGATTGCAGAGACTCAGTAACCACCTGTGAAATGAAGAGGACTTGAAGACGTGACTGGTGAAGACACGAAACCACAGCCTTCGTCGGGCTCACACCCAACACAAAGGAAACCCAAATCCTCCCAACTGGAAAAGCAGACACCCGGAAAAAAGATGATCAAGGATTTACTCTTAAATGAGTAACCAATCATTGCCCATGGAAGCAGTAGTCAAGAACTCAAATGGCCTATTACATTGGGCAGAAGATCTCTTTAAAGTGTTCCAAAGCAAAATGTCCCATTGAGGATTAAGGGGCACCTCACCCAAACCGTGGTGTTTTGTAATGGTCTCCTGCATGTGAAAGTTGAACAACGGCTAAGGAAGACCAAAGAAGCATGGACACCGCTGGCCAAGAGTATTGAATGAACTGTGGCCTGCCAGCAGAACAAACAAGCCTGTATAGGAAGAAGTGGAGCCAGAATGTTTCTTAGAACTGAGGATGGTAAGATTTGGTCTGATGGACTTTGGGCATGTTATCAAGAGGGATTGGGCCCTGGAGGGAGGACATCATGCTTGGTGAAGTGGAGGAGCAGCAAAGGAGAGGACGGTCCTCAACAGTGGCTGCAACAATGGGCTCAACCAGAGCAACAATTGCAAGGATGGCACAGGACTGGATGGTGTTTCATTCTGTTGGACATCCCAGCTCTTTGAATCAGAACCAACTAGATGACACCTAGCCACAACAAAGAGCTGTAATTGGCCATTGATGACTCACTAGATTGGCTGTTCAATGTCTTGGTCATTCCAAACCCCACCTGCTATTTATTTCAACACTGTGTATACATGACACTCTATCTCCAGCCAGTCCCATTCAGAAGATCCTGATGACTGAGTTGATTTTCATTGATTTAGCACACATGCTTGAAAGTACAGAACACAGTCAATCAGAACTGTTGCAAATTGTTTAGTGCTTCATTTTGAAGCATCCTACTACTATTATTTTAGATCTAGCCTGGCTAACTTTGCTCATATCATTGATTTACAAATTTACAAAATGTTGTGCCTGAAAAACAAAGCAACAATGGGTTGTATGTTTCCTTGTATCTTAAACATGCACACAGTTGCCTTGAACGGTTGTTTTTGAAAAGAAAATATTCTTCTGGAAGCTATTGGTAGAAGATGAGGGAGAAAATCGTTCACACACACACATACACACACACAACGTTCAGAAAAGGAAAGCCGTGTTCATTCCCTTTTAAGGGCTATAGAGATGAAAAATGGCTCGGTATGAGCTTGATCTATATGTTTTTAGTGGTTATTAGTAGTAATGAAGATGCATTAACCATATTCTCTTGATAATGCTCTAGCAGCTTCTTAGTACTTTTATCAACATATAAATTTTACAACTGGCAATATGGGAATTTGACTAGTACATTTTTGTTTATAAAAAAGGGTAACAACATTATAACTTCTTCATATTTGTGAATTATGAATCTTGACTTGCAGACAAGCAAAACTAAAATGTAACAGAGCTTTGATATGATCGCGGATCTTTCCACTGCTCCCCACAGTGCCAGAAGTGAATGTCCCAGAATGCATGGACTCCTTTTATTTCATTCATTCGTTCTTTTCTCAATACACATGTAGTGAGTGTCTTCTTCCAGCCAGCCCATCGTATCTATGAAATGCTCTACTTCATTGGAAGCCAGCTGGAAGCCGAACGTAAGTGGCGCATAATCTCTGCACAGTCTTAACTCCATTAAAAAAAAAGAACAACTTTATTTTCTTATTTTCGGTCCTTTTGGGAAGAACATTTAATAGCCATTTCTTCAAAGAAAAAGCTTGATGCAAAAGGAGCTGTCTGAAGAATTTATTTCACATTTCATTGAGTTATAAATGAATGGGCCGTGTATGTGTATTAGAAACATCTGTACAACAGAATCAAACACCGTCTGACCTTGTACCATCCTCGCAGTTGCTGCGTTTGACCCATTGTTGCAATTGTGTCCGTCCATCTTACTGACAATCTGCCTCTGTTTTCTGACCCGGTATTTAATTTTCCTCGAAACAAAGCACTTTACTTGACTTTAAATAAAGCTGAGTTTCAGGTTTTAAATTCCAAAGAAATGTAAGTCTCTAATATTCAGCCCTTAATACTAGTACTATTAGAACATCTTTATGGGAGGAAGAAGTAAGGTATTACATTTTATTGTAGAACCACGGCTCAGTTCTGTTTTAGGGCTGTCCCAAGCCAGGCCAAGGACACAGCTCTCACGTTCAAAGTAGGAGAATGACTATGTCAGGGCAGAAAATGAAGCCCAAATTAACTAACGTCAATGTAAGCAGATCCCTCAAACTTGATGTTTGTGCAGGGAAGGAGCAACAAAGTGAGAAAACAACTTCTGTGAATGACTTAGACGATAAAAATACTAACCTTGGTTTCTGTTGTTGGATTACCTCCCACATCCACAATAATTTGTAATCATAAGTGGTCTTCCAGGCTCCCACCCTGAGCTACTCCAAGGCTATGAATCATCTGGAACTAAGAGTTCATATAACAAGCGTTTTCTTGATGGCCTGTTTGCTGGGGCCAGTCACAGCGCAGGTGCATGCCACACCATGGAAGCAGAACAAGCCGATGAGAAGGCGGGCAGGAAAAGGTAGAGGAAAATCAGATGGACTTTTTGATCTACAGGGCAGACGTCACCGATGACCTTGCAGGTGGTTCCAGACCACAGGCCACAGCCAGGCTTGGGGCTGAAGGACTAAGGGGAAAGTAGCGAGTTAGGACACCTCTTTCGAACAACATCCCATGCGCAGGAGAGGCGGCATGAGAGCGCATGGGGCAAGTGATGCCCGCATGCATGCACATGGAGAAAGGAGAAAGTGAAGCGCGCAGAGCCCAAATGGAGAGATGCCATGGCCCACACAGGCCGGCGCCTCCCACCGTGCCAGCGCCAAAGACCGCACAGGTGCCGTGGGGGCTCCGTGTAGCAGGACCACCTTTCATGCAGAGACCGGGGTTCCATCTGCCCGTGTGGCTTTGCGTGGCTGTGATGCTAAGCAGGATTCAGCAGCGCTTCCAGCCTGAAACACACCGGAGAGAAAGGCCAGGCAGCGATCCTTTGCAGAAAATCAGCGAAGGACTTGCCTTAAGGCTCACAGCAACCGGCAGCCACCCCCTGCTCCTGGGGATGGCCTGGGCAGGGGTGCTTTCCACCGCGCCCCGCGTTTCCATGAGTTGAGGACTGACCTAAGGGCAGCCACAGAGAACCGCTGCCGGAGATGGAGTCACCATTTAACAAACCAAGTACCTATGACAACCTAGGCACCGGCGAGACCGCAATTAGCAAGAGACAAAAGCCCTTGCCCTCATGAAACTTATCTTTGAAAGGCGATTTGGAGTAAGCAGATGGCCAAATAAGTGAAACATTTCCTAAATCGGGGGATGAAGACGGTATCAAGAAATGGGAAGGAGAAAGGAAGACGGGAGTAGGTGTGGAAGTAGAGTGCCATCTGAATGACTCAGACGCCTGATATCACTACTATGAGTTTCCTTCATGATTTTCAGACACGTTTGTTTTTCAGGAGTTTAACATGCACTTGGTTCCGCTTTGCCTTCTGGGAAAACTACTCTCAGCCAGTATTACAGGTGTCCCTGCTATGAGCATCCCAGGCTTAGCCCTCTGTAGCCCTTATGCCACATCTGGTCATACATGTAGTAGCTACATGATCTTTTGATCCTGCTATCTCTCTGCCACTACAGGACACGGCTCTATGAGCTGTATCTGTTGTGGTCCATCGTGTGTGGATCCTTAGAACCTAGCATGAGGCTGACCTGGAATTGTACGAATGAGAAGTAACAGCACCGCTTTCCTCCAGCCACACTTTAAAGAATTTTACTATTTTCATTATTTGTGTACTGACTTCTCACTGTACATAACAGTAACGGGCCTAGTCAATGGCCATTTTCAACGGTGCTGGTGGAAGATGGGAAATTGAGAGAGTATCTTCTAACTTAAATAACACCTCTCCACCTAATGTCTGCTATATTTTCCAGGACCAATGCCAAAGGAGCGCCCCTGAATATCAACAAGGTCTCCAATAGCCTGATTAATTTCGGAAGGAAGCTGATTTCCCCTGCAATGGCCCCAGGCAGTGTGGGTGGCCCCCTAGCGGTACCTGGGGGCAATAGCAGCAACTCTGCTGCCACCACCACCGTTAGGCCCCCCACCAGGACCTCCACAGAGGCACAGCGACAACATCTGCAGCAGCAGCAGCAGCAGCAGCAGCGGCTGATGAAATCAGAAAGCATGCCAGTGCAGTTGAACAAAGGTAAGGAGAACAGAGTGGCTAATCCAGAGTAAACAGGCCTGGGATCTTCTCACCTGTTTTCCAGCCTCCCAGAAACAAACCAATCAAAAACTCAGTAAATGAGGTGTTTTATCTTTATTCCTCTAAACCTCGAATATCAGATACTGTGTTGTTCTTAATTTAAAACAACGAAGAAAGACTTTGCTGAGTATTTAAAAACACCACCACCACGTGTATCTTCATATACAAGTAGCAGCACATTCATGTCTTGTGGGTCCCCGCAGAGCGTAATGGCACAAGTGACCAGAACTGAGAACTTCACGCCAAGC